TAAATGCAGCCTCTGTACCCTATCATTTCTGTCATATTTTCAAATTTCTATCCTGTTTATCTACTATGAAATTTCCTTAATTCCTACTGAATTTATTTCAACAATTATATTTTAATTTCCAAGACATCATTCTGGAAAATATGATGATTTTAAACAACACCCCATTTGTATTTAACAGATGCTCATCTTTTTAAACATAAGGAGGCTAAGCAGGATTTTTTTTCTTAAAGTACTTTCTCTGGTCCTACCAGGGTGTGTGTGTATGTGTGTGTGTGTGTGTGTGTGTGTGTGTGTGTGTGTGTGTGTGTGTGTGTGTGTGTGCGTGTGTGTATTTTTCCTACTTGTCATGGTTTAAGTTTTACTCAACTATCAGGTGGACCAAGGTTATTTTCTATTTATGTATATGTGTGTGTGTGTGTGTGTGTGTGTGTGTGTGTGTGTGTGTGTGTGTGTATTTTTCCTACTTGTCATGGTTTAAGTTTTACTCAACTATCAGGTGGACCAAGGTTATTTTCTATTTAAGAATAAGAGAAGCAGAAGCTCACTGGAAGCTGATGACTGGTTTCTCTTATATGTGAAGAAGTGAGCAGCTAATATGACAGGATATCCCCAATTACCCTTTCCTAGGGTGCAAAATCCACACTAGCTACCTTAGTCTTGAGATAGAAAGCCACATTATCTCACTTCAGGAGAGTAAAGGTGGGGGTGGGAGTTGACTCTCCCATACATAAACTGTCAATGAGGTCCCTCTGTTTTAGTCACATATCTAATTTCCACCATGTCTTCTACAAGCACACCTGGCTATAGAGCTGTTTCGGCAGCAGGGATTAGATTCCCTCTGAGTTACGGGTTGCCCCTGTGCATATTCTAGGTAATGGTTTTCCTCTGTCCTGCTGGTTCAGTGTCATACTGTCTTCTGTATTTCAAAAACGTGGAAATCTCTTCAATCCTCTCAACTGTTGTGGGTTTACATATTAAAAATTTTGATATCATCGTTATGAGGTTCTCAAAATAGACAAAAGCTGAGAGAGTTCTCAGTGCATCTTGAATCAAAAATTCCCTAGATGTAGTTCCTAACCTTCTTGGTCTTCCTCAATGGCTATAATCATTTTTAGAACTCTAATCTCCTAGTCCTTTGGAGAAGGAAAAGAATATAACAGATGTGAAAAGACAATGAATGCAGATTAGACATTCTAAGAATTTGTCTCTATTCTGCAATTTAGTAATAAACCATTTAGGTGTTACAAACTAGAATTATACATTATCTGCAGATTCCTCCAACATTCTATAACTTTATTAAGTATTTACCTCAGATTTATCTATATAAATATCATTAATTTAAAAAATAAAAATCTGACTTTCTTTTTTTTTTTTTTTCCAGTGACTGTGCCTCCTCTCTGATGGGTTCCCAAGTTACTGGAAATCTGGCTTTCTTTAAACTGAAAATCAAATAGTGCGTTCCACAGTAATATAAAAACAGGATAAATGAGCTGGGGGCAATAGCTCACGCCTGTAATCCAAACACTTTGGGAGGCAGAAGTGAGAGGATTGCCTGAGTCCAGGGGTTCAAGATGAGTCTGAGCAATGTGGTGAGACCTTGTCTCTACAATAAATTAGTAGCTGTGGTTCTAGTTACTTAGAAGGCTGAGGTGGAAGAACTGCCTGAGCCCAGCAGGTTAAGGCTGCGGTGGCCGTGAGCATGCCACTGCACTCCAGCCTGGATGACAGAGTGAGACTTGGACTCAAAAAAAAAAAAAAAAAAAAAGGGGGGATAACTTCCCTTCTACCATGTGAGAATACGCAAGAAGGTGCCAGGTGTGAACCAGAAGGCAGGTCCTCAACCAGACACCAAATTTGCTGGAACCTTGATCTTGGACTCTCCTGCCTTCAGAACTGCAAGAATAAATGTCAGCTGTTGGTAATCAAAAAAGAGGTGAGGGTAGGGAAATAACTATTTCTATACTTACAAGTTTCAAACTAAAAGAAAACTGCATTGATTTTTAAAAAATTAATTGTAGCACACACAAAAAAATAAGGCCTCCCAAAATGGTGATCCCCTTACTATAATTTATCAACTCTGCATTAAAGTTGAAATAAAATACCAGCCGGGCTCAGTGGCTCAGCCTGTAATCCCGTGTCTTTGGGAGGCTGAGTTGAGTGGATTGCCTGAGCCCGCGGATTCGAGACCCACCTGGGCAGCAAGACCTCATCTCTACAATAAATAAAAAAAAATCAGCCAGGTGTGGTAGCGCATGCCTGTAATTCCGGCTACTCGGAAGGCTGAGGTGGAAGGATAGCCAGAGCCCAGCAGGTCGAGGCTGCGATGGCGGGGAGCGGCCACTACACTCCAGTCTGGGCGACAGAGCAAGACTCCAACTCAAAAAAAAAAAAGAAATAAAATACCATTCTTTTGAGGTGCAAAACTTTGTTATAAAAATATATTTTTCTTTTCTGTCCATAAAAATATAGACGTATGGAATGACATTAGTATTAGGTTTATAAAACAATATAATGTAGCATTTTGAAATTTTTTAGTTTATGAGAAAATATCAGTATCAAAACTGCTTTCAACTTTACTTTGATTAAAAACAAAGTTATATTTCCCTCTTATAAAAAGGAGTTTAAGCTGGATGTGTGGCGATCACTTGTAGTCCTAACTATTTGACAGGTTGAGGTGGGAGGATCCCTTGATCCCAGGATATATTAATATATACAATATATTTATATATATGCATATAAATGTTCTAGTCTATAAAACAAGAGTTCTTAATCAGCTGGTTACATTCATTCAATATCTATAAGTTTATCTTATGATCATTAAGGCTTTCCCTAAATCTAGTATTCTATGATTTTAAAAAAGGAAAATAAATAACTGATAACATGTTTTGATTTTTATTTCTTAGAGTTCAAATATCCTCCCTGCACACCTTGTTCTCAAATAAGGACCCATTCAAGGGGATGTGAGCTAGAAGGGAGGAGATAATGGAATCCCCATGCAAGCTGTCCACTGTCAATTCATAATCAAGCTTCCGCCAAATACTAACTAGTTTGAAATAATCTTCTCTATAACTTTACGTCGATAGCTTTGTACCTGCAATGCTTCTTGTTTTAAACTGGTTTTCTCAGGCACTTCATGAACACTTTCTGAAGAATCATCAGCCTCTTCAATTTCTGAGGATGAAGGACTCTCTACTGTCACAGTCACAGGAAAACCTTGTTGCTTAAAGAAAGAGGACAAGATTGTATAAGTAATATGAACCAAATACTAAAAATTAAAGGACATCTAATTAAAGTGATCTTTCTGAAGTATTAAGTCATTATCTACAAGTGTCTTTCACTAGTTCTTAGCCTAAAACAATCAATAACAAAGTAAAAAGACACTAACTTATTCTTGCTCTGTTACTGTATATAATTCTGTCATACATGGTTACAATTAATATGTGGAATTCCCCATATTATTTTATTAAATTTCTTCCACATAAGCCAAATGAGGAGCCAGGATAGACAGTTTTGCCCAGATCAATTTTACATTTCAGATGAGTAATTTATCTGCCATCATCAGACACAGAGTTTGGAAGAAAGTATAATTTTTAGGATGAAAAATTTAAGAGGACTGAGGAAGAATTAGAAGAAAAATTTAAAAGTCAATATAGCTAAGTGATGAATAATAAATACTGGAGTATTTTTTAATAAATCATATACACACACCACAACTGACACATCAAAACCCTCATCTTGGCCAGACACGGTAGCTTATGCCTGTAATCCCAGCACTCTTAGGAGGCTGAGGCAGGAGGACTGCTTGAGTCCAGGAGTTTGAGACCAGCCTGAAACACATAGAGAGATCTTGACTCTACAAAAAATACAAAAAGTAATCAGGTGCGGTGGTGTGTATCTATAGTCCCAGTGACTCAGAAGGCTGAGGTGGAAGGATCGCCTGAGCTCAGGTTGATCAAAAAGAAGAGTGCTAAGATTACCTCACTGTACAGAAGACAAGACACTACGATATAATTTCCACCACAAGCAGCAAACTCTGCAGTATATGAAAATCCTAAATGGTAGAATGAGATGCGTGTCCCTACTTTTGGGCATATATAGGGCAGTACGAACAGACTGACTGTACTGCCAATCTCAGATGTGCTATCTTTGACAGAGAAATTAGTCTCTCAGGACAACTGGAAAGGAGACCTGATAATCTGACAGAATGAGCTTGCTCCACATCGTAAGGCAAAATGATAGGGAGTGTGTATGATCCTGGTGAAAGAGCAAGAAAAGTTCTGATAAAGCAAAGGTTCTGGGATTGGCTGCTTTGTTTTGGCTTTAGGATCTAGAATTTATGCCTATAAATTCTATTTATGCCTACATGTGTGTCCCCAAATACGTATTTCTTGAAAACTTAAGGACATTCTTGACTATGAGGCTCTATGTGTCAGGCCAAAAGTGGTGGTTAAATTAATTTCACTAGGCAAAAGCTGATTTGTAGACCAGAGAAATGGCTTCCTTGTCTATAGATGGAGCCACAAGGCTTTCACTGTATGACATATTCATGTAACTATCCAGTGATATTGGAAGAGCAACCTGGAACATTTTAAATAAATTTGCTTCTGGGAGGGAAATGTTTTTTGTGAGGTTCTGTTCACTTTAAAAAGCACAAAGAATGACCTCCCACCCTTCCTACTCTAACCCCCTACATATTATAAATATGATAACTACGTACCTGCAACTGATTATACATATCACGGGTTTTGAGTAATGGAAAGCCCCTAAAGAGATACAAACAAAGTAAGTTCCATTTGATGTAAATATGCCACCAGTTAACACCAGGTGATAACACTTATGTATTATATACATGATTCATACAGAACTGTGTGCAGAAATACCCTCAAAATAAGGACCTGGAAGGGGCTGCTATGCAGAAGAGGTAACAAATTTAGCAGAATGCCTTTATGATAATTCTGAACTGTTGAGAGATACATTCAGCTCCTATGTTCAGGATGGTTGCAATTTCCAGTCTAACTTCAACTAGTGATATTAATTGTTCTCTAAGTAGGAAGTGTCTCAAGTAAAAGATACGAAATCACAATATTACAAAACTAAAGGGTAAAGATTTGGGCCTCAACATTACAGTGTATACAATAATAACTCACACTACCATTTGCAAAAAAAACATAGTGGTCAGTTACCTAATAAAGATCACAGACATCAACTTAATGTGAGCAACTGAACAGATATTTTAAATAGTACCTACTTTCCAGTCCTACTGAAAATCAATTCTATTTGTTTTCTTAAGCAATTGTTAATCACCAATTTCTTGAGTACTACAAAGTCAGTCATTTAAAAATAATCTGCAACAATCTAATTCATCCAAAAAGCCTAAAATTATAGTATAACAATTTTAAAGACTATGAACAGCTATCCCCTAGGTAAGTAATTAGCTAAGACTAGTTACATCTAACTTGATTCACTAAATATGATTCAGTAAATGAGACAGGCCAGTTGACATAATTAGATTACATCTTATCCATACTTCTCATCCATTTTGCATTAAAACTATTTTCCATACCTACAATGTCATTTCCCCATTCCCACACATTCAAATTCCTACTTCTGTCCTAATACAAATGCTTTAATTGAAACCTTCTCTCACCTGCACAATTGGAGATAACTTCAATTTTCTCTGGATTTCCACAGGGTTACAACTTCTTATGACACTTAAGAAATAACTGCAAACCCTTAATTATAAAGCTCCAAATTAAAGAATTTTCAATGACTAAAAGATAGGGAATAAAAATATTCTACCTGTTCCTTTTTGCACGTTCTGCAGTACGCCATGGCAAGAAACCAGACACACCAGGCGGTAAAGGTGCAGGAGCATAGTATTCTTTACCAAGGGAGTGTTTTCTTCCATTACTTACAGGTTTCTTTGTAGCCAATCCTACATTTGAGAAAGTGTTAAAAAGAAAGAATCAAGGTGTACTACAAGTCTACAAATTATTTATTCTCTATTAAAAGAATACAAATAAGCAACTGACAATGATACTAAGGCCATTAAAAACAGGGTCAATTAGTAAAAATCTTTCTATGCAGACCAGCAATGTTTTAAAAAGATAAGTTCTCTAGAGTTACAAGTTATCATTTTAACTAAAATTTAAGTTCAATATATGAAATGTGCAGAGCATGAAAAAGTAAATAAAATACATATCACAAAGAATGAAAGATGGTGCATGATTTCATTATGCATCATGCATCAATATTCAGTCTATTGAATCTAAGAACACCTTTGGCATTTCTGGATCTCAAGAATATAGATACAACCATGACTCCTGTCAAACAGAACCTTCTGAATTACAAAAAAACTTTTAATTTAAGACTAGCTGTACCATGTAAAAACTAGTTATAAGACTGAAGGTTGTGGAGTGGTTGCGGAGTGGTAGATAAGTCAATGTGCCAATGTGCCTAAATGACTTCCTATAAGTCTGTCAACCTTCAGCACTCATTTAATTTTATAGAAAACACAAAAGAAACAAATAAAAACCTATTGGATAAAAGAATGACATGTAGAGACTTATCCTATATTTGAATATTAAGTCAAGTATCTTTTATATGAAATAACTGACAGCAAAAGCTAGACCTATATACTAATACTTTATTTAGAACACGTCATATATTAACATTCACATTTAAATATTTAATTGTCTCATATCACTGAGAACAAATAGGTTTATTTAAATGATTATATTTAACCTTCTAATCTATTTTACTATACAAGATCTGCCTTAGCAGTATTAGCAACCAGTACAACCTCTGTGGAAAACAGTGTGGCAATTCGTAAAAGATATAAAAATTGACCTCCCATATGACCTAGCAATCCCCCTTCTGGGAATATACCTGGAGGAATGTAAATCATTCTATAAAAAAGATATCTGCACACACGTTTATTGCAGCACTATTTATAATATCAAAAACATGGAACCAACCATGCTGCCAATCAAAAGTAGATTGGATTTTAAAAATGTGGTACATATACACACAGCCATAAAGGACAACATTATGAACTTCACAGCAACTCATATGGATTTAGAGTCTGTAATACTCAGAGATCTATCACAGAAAAAAAGAACTGAGTACCACATGTTCTCACTCATAAGCAAATCCTGAACAATTATAATACTATAAGAAAGGCATTGGCAGTAGTGGGAAACTGCCATGGGAGGAAGCAGGGGGCACACTTCCATCAGTAAGGATACCTGATCTCAAACCAGGTGATATGGGGACGAAAGGGGGCCCAAACTTTCCCTGTACAATAACCATTTGTATACCTAACTCTGAATTGTACCTACATCTTTAAAATAAAAATTTTTTAAAAAATGGAATCTAAAATAAAGTGTGTGTGATACTTCAGGGCAAATATTTCATATAGTAGAACTTATTGATAATAACCACATGGTCCTGTATGATTTATGTGGACAAATGTATATGCCTCTTAAAATACATGGGAGCTCTGTTCATCTTCTGCTTTCATTTTTGCTTTTTAACTTAATTACCCTCAAAGAATGTTCCTGTGTATATATTCATTCCTTGTGTATGTACATCCATTCCTTCACTTTCAGAAACTAAAGCAAATATACTTTTAATTAAAACCAAAGGAATTTACACCTATCTCGTTAGGAGATGATGAAAAAATACCTAATGGAAGTTCCTATCGTCCTTCTGCATATATAACTGCAATATGAATGTGACACAATTTGCATAAATTACTCAACCCCACACTCACTGAAATCTGATTATACAGCCAGACATTGATTTGGCATATCTCTAAGTCTCCAAATAACTGAGGCAAATACCAAAAAAAGCCCAAGAAATAAAATTATTCTTAAGATAGCTCAGTGAGCTTATAATCTGTCATATTTCCACTTTCTTTAATCATGCTAAGAAAAAAGTTTTTGTTTTTATTCTCATCCCATGATATCCTGTTACATAGCACTAGCTAATAAAATTATAAACTTTCTAATATGTCTTATATATTATGTTATAATATGTTTATATAAACCATTTTTAAGAGTGATAACAGCTTTTTAAAATATCAGGTAGCACTCAAATAAAAGATTATTTGTCGTTAATTGTTTGGTGATCTTAATGCATCTGATATTTAACTAAAGTCACCACAAACTTTTTTCTGGGAAATTGGTAGACTATAAACATAAAAAATTTATTTTGTTTCCTCTATGTTAGTCCTTATGGTTTTCCTTTTTCAAAATGCAAAGTTACTTGTAAGAAAAGGTCAGTTTTATATTAGAGTTGGCTTAGCTTATCCACTCCATCATTCATTATTACCATGACAAAAAGTCTGCTTATGACTAAAGATAATGTGTTCTTGGAAATAAAAGTTAAGAATTCTTTAGAAAACAATACAAAAATGTCAGTTAGCCAGATTATACAAAATTTCACAGAAGAATGTGAAATTTATGCCACTGGTTATTGAAGAGTTTATAAAGAAGATTATTTTTTTCATTACCCTTGGTCCAAAATTATAGACTTAATTCTGGACTATTATTTGGCAGATTAAATATACATATATAGCAAACATTTAGAAAATGTTTTCCTAAAATATTTTATCTAGGTTCAATAAATTTGACTGCAGCATTTCTTTATACAATTATGTATATCTTACAAGATTATATATAACTTATATTTTATATTTAATGCATATTTTATATTTATATGTATATTTTTAAAGGGTTTTTTTCCCCATCATTGAAAGAAGCTACCATGTCACCTGATTCATTAATTTTGGGTAAGAATTTGAAAGGAAAGAGGAAAAAACAAGAAAAAACAACAGGAAGAAATTTTGTTTCCTGTAGTATAAAAAAATTCTTCATTATTCAAAATCACTGTTAAAATTACCACCAAAGTGCATCCCAATTTCAATTGCAAAGCATCAGAAGTAATCATCAATCAGAAAACATAAACAAACAATATAACTAACTTAAAACTAGCAGCCGGGCTCGGTGGCTCAGCCTGTAATCCCATGCCTTTGGGAGGCTGAGGTGAGTGAATTGCCTGAGCCTGCGGGTTCGAGACCCGCCTAGGCAGCGAGACCTCATCTCTACAATAAATCAAAAAATCAGCCGGGCGTGGTAGCGCATGCCTGTAATTCCGGCTACTTGGAAGGCTGAGATGGAAGGATCGCCAGAGCCCAGCAGGTCGAGGCTGTGGTGGCTGAGAGCAGCCACTGCACTCCAGTCTGGGTGACCGAGTGAGACTCCAACTCAAAAAAACAAACAAACAAACAAACAAACAAAAAAGAAGTACTAGCAGACTGTTCCTAATGATTCATATACCATCTCCAGGTTCCATCAATTCTCATAATCTGTATCAGAACTATTATAGTCCTCATAATATACATGTAGTCAATATTAGTTATACTGTCAATACCATTCAAATAGAAGAGATTGTAATTTTAACACACTGGAATACATAAAGGGTATAAGTTCTACTAGCATTAGAAAGCCAAGACAGAAAGGGTTACCAATTCTAATAGTAGCTTTTCCTTTTCGACCACTTCCTAGAATGATAGTTCTCTTTTTCTGCCTAGCAGTTTTGGATGGTTCCTTTACTGATGGAGAAGTAATCCATTGGTACTGGAAGAGAAATAATAAATACTACATTTCAGTTATAGGCAATTTGTGAGAACTTGTTCTTGACTGGAAATTATTAAGATTTTCTAAGTTAATAAAAGGGCTTACAATCAGCAGTTCTGGGACCCCAAATTTTAAAAATCATATAATATTTTTAAAAAACAGAAAAGCCATTTGATTTGACTGAAAATTTAAGATGGCAGAAAAGTGCCTTAATATTATTTTATTTAAAACAGAAGAAAAGCTGGGTTTGAGGGCACGCCTATAATCACAGCTACTCAGGAGGCTGCAGGGGGAAGATCACTTGAGCCCAGGGGTTGAAGGCCAGCCTGGGCAACATAGTGAGACCCAAGAAGAAAGGCAAGCAATTAAAGAGAAATTCTTTCTAGAGGAATAAAATGTGTTATACCTCTGATTTAGCACTCCTTCCATTCTGGAGAACTTTTTTGATAACTGCTTTCATCACAGAATGATCTAAAGTAAAATAAAAATATAAATATAGTAATTGTTTCCCAATAAGTGGCTATTTCCATTTAAAAATAAAAGCCAGTGAATTAAACCTTTTCCTATAAAATTAAACATAATGTCCACATTCTATAATTGTATATCTACTTTTCCCTTTGAGTAACTTCTTCCTTAAAAAAATAAAAGTATGCCACTTCACATATTGCCTTAGTAGCTACTATTTAGGCAGCAGCAAAGACCAAATCTAAATACTTTCTAACTGAGGTGGCTTTGGATACCTTTGGATAGAAAACCAATAGGCTGGACACATTTCCAGACACTTAGATACTTAAGGCACCTAACATACCCAAATCAAAGTCATGGTACACCCTTGAAGCCGCTCCTTTCTATAGACTCCTTCTCTCAGTAGAAAGCACCCAGTCGTACACATAATCATCTAGGACTTTTAAAAAATATTTCCTTCAAAACCCACATCTAATCTATCTGCAAGTCTTGTTAGTTACACCTGGCTTCAACCACTTTTCACCACCTCCTACCTTCTACTGTAACTATCTCCAAGCCATAACTATCTCTCACTAGGACTACTGTGAGAGTCTACTAATTGGTCTCCCTATTAGTTTTATCACCCCCTACAAGTCTATTTTCCACACCAGGGTCATCTGCTTGAAATAGTGCTCAGGTCATGTCCTTTTTCAGCTCAAAACCCCTGCATGGCTTTCAGCTCATTTTAGTCTAAGCCTTTCCCTGGCCTTCAGAACTTTACAAGATCTGGCTAGCTGTCTAACTTCACAGCATACCAGGCTCGTCTTCACTCAGTGCTCCAACCATGTTGGCATCCTTGCTTTTCCTTAAATACTTCACCCACCCTGCCACCTATGCACCTACGTACTCATTACATCCTTGTCCTGGAATGTACTTCCCTGCATCTTCCTTGGTTGGTTCCTCTCTTCTATCAGGTCTCTGTTCAAACATCACTTTTCCAGTGAAGCTGTCTCCTAACAATCCTGTCTAATATAGACTCACCTGCCCCATCTATCTTCTTACGTTAAGGTAGTTTTACACTTTCTGCTATCTAAATCACATTACTTATCTGTTTACTCATTGATATCAGAACTCCTTCACTAGAATGTGAGCTCCATGAGGGCAAGAATTTGTCTAGCTGGTTCACTGCTATTATGCTTAGTGCCTAAACCAGTCTCTGGCACGTGGAAGCATTCAAAAATTACTTGTCAAATTAAAAAAATGAATGAAGTACTTCTTGCAAGAATTCAGAGTTTCCATAAAAAGAAAGCAATGCTCTTGGTGGAAGCAGATTGATTATCTGGGTTCACTTCTATTCAGATTAGCAGTCAAGAGCAATTTATAAGTATAACTCATTTTAATCAGTACATTATCTGCTTAAAAAAAAAGTGCAAGATAAGAAAGTACAAGATTAGAAAAGTAAATAAGTTTGAAAAATGGTCAGTACATGAACAAATTCTTTTTGCTTTGCAATTTGTTAGTTAATAAAAAAAACTGTGGTGACATACCAATGAGTGGATTTTTTCTTATATCCAGAACCACCAGAGTTCTATTGGTTTCAAGGGCCTTTAGCAAAGCCTTTGCTCCTTCATTGGTGAGGCCACACTGCTGCAGGTCAAGGGCTTTTAATGAAAGACAAAGAGTCACTTCTTACCTCTGTACAGATTTAACATACAGACAACTCTCACTTATTCATGCCTGGAAGATTCCTGTCCAAGACTAGTAATGGCAGATTTTTAATCATGGGTGTTGAAAAAAATAAAAACAGAAAAGCATGTGTACATAAATAATCCAAAAGTTTAAAAAGCAACAACAAAACCACCCTCTTCTTGGATGTGCCACGATTATCCTCCTTTTAGGACCAATAAATTACCCAACATATTTTACAATTACAGAATTGAAGAGTAACTATATAATTTACGAGAAAAGCATCACAGAATGCCTATCAGTTCATAACTAGTAAGGATGCTAGTGGCAATGTAAACGTCATAGGCAAAAACTGGGTGGAGCTCAGAAACTGTGCTCAAAATCCTAAACACCAAATGACTCTCAAAAAATTACATTAAAAAATGGAAATAGAAGAAATATAAAAACGGTTAGTTCCAGAATAAAAATGACAAAGAAAACTCTAAGGGGATATATATAATGAATCTAGTAAATGTGTCAATAGAGATAAACTAAAAACCTATCAAAAAATTATGGTCAAGAACTCTTTCAGTAAAAGGTCAAAGAAATAAACAAATACTAGCAGCACTGAAGCTGAACAATCTTCTCATTTAAACCCAAAAGGACCATTACAAAAGCATAAATATAGAAAAGATTACATCAGAAGAGAATATAATACAAACCTTTTCTTTTTAAGCACCATGTATATCACTACAGGAAAATAACTGAAGTTTTTTAAAACTCCATATTATGGACTACATGTTTATGTTCCCCTAAAATTCTGTGTTGAAACCCCAGCGGGATGGCATTACGAGGTAGGGCCTTTGGGAAGTAATTAGGTTTAATGAGGTCTTCAGACAGGATCAATGTCCTTGTACGAAGAGAAAGAACTCTCTTTCTCCACCATTTGAGAATACAACAAGAAGACACGTGTGTACAAGCCAGGAAGAATGCCCTCGCAGACACTCCGTCTAGGTGTCCTTAATCTTAAACTTCCCAGCCTCCAGAACTGTGAAAAATATCTTCTGTTTAATCCACCTAGTCTACAGTATTCTGTTGTAACAGCCCAAACTGACTAAGATACCCCATGACACACAGAAATAATAAGTCAGATACTGGATCTGATAGAATACAACACAACTCCCACAGACTTTTATGACAGAAGAATAAGCATGGGATATAATTATCCAACTAGCCAAATTAATAAAAATAGCTAGTAAATCTCATTGGTAAATCAAATGAATACAAATAAAATAGTGAACTGTGACTGTTCTCCTATCAGATCATGTAACAGAAGCCCTTAAAGTGTGCATACTTTCAATGCAGCAGCTCTCCATCTAAGAATTTACCCAAAGGAAATAATCAGAGATATGGGCAAGGATGCATATCGAAGTACTGTTTATAACAGTGAAAAATTGGAAATAGTTCATATATCTAGCAGGAATGAATAAGCTAAGTGTAGTATAGTACGTTAATATAATGGAACACTGAAAAGTCACTAAAAATTATGTGGTAGATATAAATTTATTGATTTGTTAAGATGCTAAGGCTATACTAAATAAAAAGTTATAAAATCTAGAAAGCAATTCATTTTCTTTAAGTTTTAAGTTTTTTTGTTTTTTTGATTTTTTTTGAGTTGGAGTCTCATTCGGTTGCCCGGACTAGAGTGCAGTGGCCGCTCCCGACCACCGCAACCTCGCCTGCTAGACTCCGGCAGCCTTCCAAGTAGCCGGAATTACAAGCATGTGCTACCATGCCCGGCTGATTTTTTGATTTATTGTAGAAATGAGGTCTCGCTGCCCAGGCGGGTCTCGAACCCGCAGGTTCAGGCAATCCACTCACCTCAGCCTCCTAAAGGCGCGGGATTACCGGCTGAGCCACCGAGCCCAGCAGGTTTTAAGTTTTAAAACTGACACAACACAGTGTACATGAAAGTGGTACAGGTTGTACAGACACTGTTAGTGTGGACTATAAAATGACACAGCATTTCTGGATGGCAATGTGGTAACAAGTATCAGGTCTTTAAAAATATACTACAGCATGCACTTTTAGCATTTATCCTATAGAAGCAATTTCAGTGGACAGAGATGTATACATAAGGTGCTTACTACAGTTTACAATAGGGGAAAACACAGAGCATCTAAATAGGAAATAGGAGGGAATTAATTAAACTACTGTGCCTCAATATAATGGAGTACTACATGATATATTATTAAAAGAAAAAAGCAAGATTACAAAATAGTAAGTACACTATAATTCTGTTTTTGTAATCTCTAAGTATACAAATATATTTACAGAAAAATTTCTAAAAGTATATATGCCAAAATGAACAATAGTTAGATATCTCTGGATATTATGAATATAGGTAATATTGTTCTTGTTACGCTGTATTTCTATAATGAATATATATAAAAAGCTATTTTCAAAAAGATTCTTTAAAATAAATCTTACAACATCACTGCATCAAGAGCTTAGCATATCTTAATGTCAAAAATGTACTATTTTCCATTTCAGAGCTTCATTTAACTTACCTCTCAACCAAAGATCCTCATTGAGAGAGTCTGCAAAAGCACTTGCACCTAGGTCACCAATGAGTGTGTTGCAATTCAATGTGATGCGCCTCAAGCCAGCCATACAATCAAGATCAGGTCTCCTATAGCGAAGACTCTCAGCCCAGGTTTCCTCATGCCTTCTCATGGTCTGATACTTCAAAGATTTAATAAGATGAAATTAAGACGCTTGAATAAGAAAAAAGGGACACTAAGATGAACTAATATGGTTGATTACATCAGAGCTTTACACACACACACACCCCCTAAGTATTAATATATATGCCAGGAGAGTCAAATTCTGGTTAGGAGTCCAGTGACCCAAATCCTAGCCTGCCACTGATTAGTCGTGTGACTAACCACTGGTGACCTGTTGCTGATTAGTTATATAAACCAACAACTTAATCAGCTTCTATGAATTTTGTTTCCCTTTTCTGCCCAATCTCGGAATTGTTTCTAAACTTTATCATTGCTGAGCCTCTAAATTCTGTCACTCTGTCTTCTAATGGTCTCCAAACATTTGACTGAGCATCCCAAAAACAAACTCTTTAAAAACATGTAGTTATTAATAAATGTATGAAGTTGTATACACAATATCTTATATACATTATAAACTATGCATTAAACAATAGATATTTTCTAAATGATATAAATATAAGGTTCTAATATTTTATTCTCCTAACCCAAAGGATCGCACACACTTCTAAGGATATGCATACCAACTCTAGAGGCCTGGAATATGCAAAGCAATGCTGATATGCTTTAGGAAACTGGTGGTTTGAATTTTAACCGTAGGGATTGTCTTAAAGACATATTACAGTCAGTTCTCTGTATTCATAAAGTAAATTGTTAACAAGGAACACTGATTTTAAAAGAAAACAAATCTTATTACATTCTTAAACAACCAAAGAATCAAAGCTCTTATGACACTCTGAAAGGAAAACTGTTAGTGTCATTTTTCTTTAATAACCTATAAAAGCAAGAAGAGGAAATAACAGCAAACATGTACATAGTGCTTATTATGTTCTAGCCACTACTTCATACACAGTAGTTCACTGAATCCTCATGAGTGACAAAGTAGGTTTTCTTAATACACATATTTTACAAATGCGGAAACAGGCATAAAGAGGCCAAGTAATTTACTTTGCTGGTGGGCACAAGATATTAAATGAGAGAGTTGGGATTTTAATCAAGGCTGTTTGGTTCCAGTATTCATGCTATTGACCATATCTATCCCAGGGGTCAGTGGGCTTGCTCTGTAAAGGGCCCAAAGTAAATTGTTTCACTTTGTGCAACTACTAAATTCTCCTGTTCTAGGATGAAAGTAGCCAGCATTATTATGGAAACAAATGGATAGGGATACGTCTCAAACTTTATTTACAAAAATAGGTGATAGTCTGGAGTGGTCCATAGGCTATAATTTGCCTATCTCTGACCCATGCCACCAAACTATTAAAAAGGCTTCAAGTCAAATATTAAGCAATTTTAGATCTAAATTCAGTAGTTATAACTACTCTCTAAAAGTTGTTAAGCCTCTTTAAAATTATTTTTTTAAAACTACATTTATAAAATGCTAATGTAGTGATTTTTATTAGTTTATAAACTACACCAGTTAACAATGAATCACTTAAGTAATTTGAGGGCTGTGATAGCATAAAGTTTCTTTCAGTGTCACACTAAACATTTTCTGTTCTTTTCTTCTTCATTTTATTTTAAAGATGTGGGCTACAAGTCAGGATTAGGTAGTAAGTGGTCTACGTACAGGTCAAATCTGGCCCTCCCACTGGTCCTCATTTTCTCTGGTTTAGAATCAGGTACCTTTATGATGTTACATGCCCCCACGCCCTGGCAGGGTCCTACTATTGCTGATTCCTCTCCTGTAGTATTGTGATGAAGTTCAGGACTCACTTAAGAGTAAGAACCATGTGGTATTCAGTTCTTTGTAAAACCACCGAGTATGGTAGACTAAATCCATCCAAGTTGCTGCAAAGTTCATAATTTTGTCTTTATGGCTGCATAATATTCCATTATGTATATGCACCACTAAACACTTTCAATAACTAAAAATACACAAAAAATATTGTTCGTAATGTATTATATTTTAATCTCTTATTTTTAAGGTTAAGAACATTATCTTTACCAAATGGTAGAACCCCAAGCTGAAAACCAGTCCCATTCTTTTAATAAAACTAAAACTATAATCACCATATGCATCAAAAGACAAAAATAACTGCCATTTTGTATCAAAATATTAACATATTTCAACTACATAATATGTTTTCGTGAAAGTTTGAACATAAAGTCACCTTTAAGATCTTGGCCATGTGATCTGCTCCCTGCCATGTCAGATTACACCCTGTGAAGTTGACTGTCTTAAGAGTGATAGAGCTCTTTATACCTTGACAAATAACTGGGGGGAAAAAAAACACAAGCAATAAGATGAAGAACTTCTACAACCTGGTCAATCTTGATTTATTAGTTTTTCTTGTGTCTATTCTAGTTTATAGTTGTATTCTTAAAATCACTATCTACAATCTTCTCATGTAACTGAATGGAACATTTAAAACTATGTCATTCTAGTTTACAGCAATAATTTAATTCTATTTAAATGCTAAAATTGAATACTCTGAATACTGCACACTTGTTCCCAACCTATAAAGTACTATATACCTTTTAAGACATCTGAAAAAAAAGAAAAACCTAAAAAGCATAAGTCTCTTCTTATGTTCAATTCTAACAACAGATTTTGATCTCAATTATCAATCAATTATTTACTGTCAACCATAAACACAATTTTATTAGGTACTATACTAGAGTACCTAATATACTAGACCAACAGAAGACAGAGACCTCAAACTCTCTGTTCCCTCAAATTGAAATGCTGATTTCCTTACCCCTCCAGACTACTATTCCATACAATAAACAGACACAAATTCTTCAGGACTCCAATTAACTGTCACCAATGATTACTTCCATAACCCCCCTCACCCCCTACTGAGTTTGCTGGCCTTTTATAAGCTCCTATAGCACTTTGCTTATATTTTCTATTTCAACACATACCACAGTGCATTAAAATTGACTTTATATAGATGTTTTAACTATCTAAAATAACGATGATTTTCTCTTTACATCTTGTTATTGTCCCTCCCATAAAGATTTCTTGAAGACAAACCCTAAAAGATGAACAAATGCAAAACGTAGAGACTAGAAAATAGCATATATTTGTGTGTTTGTGGCTTAACACAACCTTAAGCAAAATTAGGTCAGAGTATTCAGCATGACAAACTTTCATGGCAGACATGAGACTGAACCAAGATATGAACAGGCACAGGAGGCAGATAGAGGCAGTCCTCTATCTGAGGTCAGTACAGATAGAAGCAGCAGTAAGAAAAAGTACAGAAAGGAATTCACATGGCATGGAGGAAAACATGAAACCAGTCTGATGGGATGAGAGTTAAATAAGATTTGAACTTACTTTCTAAACCTCCATCTCCAATTGGACAATTTGCAAGAGATAAGTGCACCAAAGAAGGCGATTTATTCAATCCCTTTAATGAAGGGGAAAGAGTTAAACATTTATTGAGTTTTTTTTCCTCCAAAGACAACTATCAAATGTTTGCAAGCCACACTGGAGAAAGCTTACCTTTGTTAAAACAGTTAAATCTCTCTCTCTCAGAACTAGTCCATTTAGCTCCAGGTTCCTTAGCACATTCGATACACTTAAACAGCCTTTAAGAGCTTTACATAACTGTAAAGTCACATCTTTGGATCGTATCGCAGGAACACGACTTCTGCAAACTTTATTTATGTCGGAACCTAAAGCAGAGTTATTATAAAATTATTTACTTCAATCATTCAGTTTATCATTATGTGCTAAGACAAAGAAATGGCCCATGTCCTTAAGTCCTCTTAAGGGACACATGTAAACTCAAAATCACTTACGATATACACAGACTATGTACACAGAGGTTCTTATGAAGGCAAAGAAGTTACGCCTAAAGGATGGCTATAGGCTGGGCCCAGTGGCTCAAGTCTGTAATCCCAGCACTTTGGGAGGCTGAGGTGAGAGGGCTGCCTGAGCTCTGGGGTCCGCAACCAGCCTGGGTAACTTGGCAAGACCTCATCTCTACAATAAATAAAAAAAACTAGCTGTGCATTAGCGCGTGCCTGTAGTTCCAACTACTTGGAAGGCTGAGGTAGAAGGATTGCCTGAGCCCAGCAGGTGGAGGCAGCGGTGGACATGAGCATGCCACTGCACTCCAGCCTAGGTGACAGAGTGAGACCTCAACTCAAAAAAAAAAAAAAAAAAAGAAAGAAAGAAAGAAAAGAAAAGAAAAGAAGAAAAGGATGGCTTCAAGATAATCCTGAAGTTGAATCTAGAAGGGTAAGAATGACTACATGGGGTCGGAGTAGGTAATGCCTTCACCACAGAGGGAGCAGCATGTACAAAGGCATCCGAGCCTGACACCTGCTGGGCACTGTAAATACTATAGGTAGAGATGCCTAAAGGCCAGAGGTGCACTGGAAAGATCAGAAGTTAAAATACAGGAGGAGGCTGAAGCAAGCCTAGGAGCGCTAGCTTTTATCTCACGTGGTGAGGACCACAGCTACACTGACACATTAAGGATTCCCCAATGCGTTAGAAAAATGTACCTTACTGTTGGAGGACCAAGAGGCAAAGGGAATGATGAGAAAAGCTCCCTAACCCCAGGGAGCATGGCAGAGCACAGCTCAAGTTTCAGTGCCTCTGTGCAGTGCACAAGTTGTATAACCAACACATGCTATTCCTGTTGGGGTATTTCACTCTAAGTGTATCTTTTGATTTTACAAAGACCACTTGAATCAAAGTAGACAGATGAGCTGAGAAAAACTGAGTTAAGGGGCAACAAATTCAGCTAGGAGCTTCTGCAATAGTCCAGGCGAAATATAATTAAAGATGAACAAGCACTATTCTAGGAGGTTAAAATCTACAACCCAGACCCACTGGATGCAAGAGATAAAGAAGGTTCAGCAAAAAATATCTGAAGAGAAAGGGTCTATAATACATTTTTTTCTTACATTCAGTGCAAAATATTAAGCAAGATCAAGTACGCTAGCTTGACTCTAAAGTACCTTTAATTTCTTTTGGTTTCTGTTATTACTTGGGTTTAGTAAAGTCCCTTCAGAGGTACAGAACAATTCCTATACCCAAATGAGATGCAGAGAATAATCTGACTTCTCTTCAGCAAGAGATGTGTTGAACTGTCCTTGCAGAAGAGATTATGGATGGTGTTAACTCCAGAGCCCAGAAAAGGGCCAAGAACATGGCAAGTGGTCAGACTTTTTGTTTGTTTAAATAAGTCAACAATAATTTTCTCACCTAGAGCTTCACCCTCCCTCTCAGCTTGCTACTTTACCTCAGCTCACATTTAAGTCCATCCATTTAAAAAAACATCTTTCAGACCTATATTTTCTGGATCTTCTTTGTGGGTAATTTAGGTCCTTCCCATACCTTCAAACAACTGTCCTCCTACAAGGTCCAAAATCTGTATCTTGAGGCCAGACCAGCCTACCAGACATATCTGGATTCTTCACAGGTCCCTCCTAAAACATTAAAGACGAACTAAGATCCTCTTCCCATGCTCAATCCCTTACAGCTCTGCTATCTTATGAAAAGATGCTGCTGTCAACTGTCACCTAATCTCACAGCACTCCCTCATCTAACTGGTCACCAGAACCCATCCATTCTCCTAGATATCTGAAATCCAGCCTCTCTTTTCCACATCTGAACTTGGCCCATAAGATTACAAAACTTCACCTCTCTTCCAACTTTAATTTGCCCTCCAGATGGAGGTCAGAGTGAGCTCCTATGGAAAGTCCAACCCGTCATCCTTCAGTGAGTGGTTCCCCAACAACCTTCATAGCAGACATCAAACTCTCTTAAAAGGAAAGAAAGGACCCACCCTTCTGGCCTCACCAGGTTTCCAGTCTGAAATCTCCCAGCACTTTCTCAAACCCTAAATTCCAGTCCTATACCTCAGCTTACCATACTCTCTCCTATTTCAAACACTTTTGCACAAACTGTTCCCTCCTGCTATCTGGCTAGCTTCTACAGCAAGGTGTCTCTATTATGAACAAAATACTGAGCTTTTGGCTCATCCCTGTAATTCCAGTATTTTTGGGAGCCAGAGGCAGGAGAATCGCTTGAGCCCTGGAGTTAGAAAGCAGCCTGGGCAAAATAGGGAGACCTCCTCTCTACAAAAAATAAAATAATTAGCCAGAAATAGAGGTGCACACCTGTAGTCCCAGCTACTTGGGAGGCTAACGCAGAAGGATCGTTTGAGCTCAGTCAGGAACTGGGGGCTGCGGTGAGCTGTGAGCATGCCACTGCACTCCAGCCTGGGCAACATAGTGAGACTGACTCAAAGAAAGGAAAAAAAAAAAAAAAAAAAGCTGTGTGTAAAGCGGTAGAATGAATAACATCATTTTGTCACACGTCATGATTTACCTAGCATATTGTCCCCCAAATCAGAGGGTCTGGGTCCCTAATTACACCCCCTTATATTTACAAAGCACTTTACAAAATCCTTACGTAAACATTAAAAAGTGAAGGCAAAGGCCGGGAGGTGTTAATTTCCCACCGGTTTCGTTCTCTATCCGGCAAACAAAAAAGTCATTCGACAAAACACCTGACACCTGTCGAGCTTCGCAAGCATCATGCACTCGGGGGACTCCTTGCAATCAGCACCGAGCGTGGGTCCTGCGACTAAGCCCATGTTCTGGATGACAACACCGAGACCTAGAGGCCTCGAGTGACCCACGCGGGGCACCCCCCCCCGCCCCCGCCGGTAAGGGCCCCAGGCCGCATACCCCGTGGGCCGCACCCATACCCCGGCCCTGGGCACCTAAAGGGCCCAGGCTCCACCTCGGACCCGTCCAAAGACGCGCTCGGCCCGACCGACCGAGGGACAAAGGAAGGGGGAACGACAAACCCGTTTCCCCAAGCCACGGCTGGAAGCAGCTCTTGATCGAGATCAAGGGCAGATCCTTGTTCATCTGGAGCGTGCTCAGGAGGGGCGCCCAGTCCACGACGCGCAGGCGGTCGGCGTTGAAGTCCAGCACGCCCTCCCGGAGGCAGGCGCGCACCGCGGGCAGCGGCACCGAGTCCTGCAGCGCGCACAGGTACTCGTAGTGCGAGAAGAAGTCCGCCGCGCCGTCGCGGCGCAGCTTCACCGAGTCGATCATGGCCACCGGGCGGCCTCGGGGTTCGCCCGCCGCGGAGACAACGCCCGCACCCCCGGGGAGCCCCGGGTCCA